TTATTGTTTTATTAATAAGTATATGACAAAAACATATTTCTCGTACTTTTTAATTTCACATGTTTAACAACTACTCAAATGCTGCGCAAACAAAAGTAATTCAAATTTATACTCATCATTGCCCAACTATGAACTATTCTAGTAAAGTAATGATATTTTAATCAAGAAATATGTCATATTAAGAACAAAATGCAATAATTCTCTTTTTATGCACATGCATAATTAACAGTCTACGATGTTCGATTATTGAATACGAGTCTTATATATTTTTAGATTGGGAAAATCCAATTCAGCCAGTGAATATAAAACTTAAGCTAGTGAATATGATTTTATAATTTGTTCTCTTGACTGCTGTTTTGACCAACGACACTGCAGCTACATGTATTATTAGATCATATAATAAAACAAAATAAAGATACCAACCTTGTGGTATATGCATGATCCCAATGGTCAGCCCCGCCACAATATCTCCTGGTAACGACTCTCGTATTTGATAATTCTTCATTATAGTGATGAACGGAAATATAGAATATATAAATCCCTTTATACATGTCCGTGAGCAATGGCATTTTGACACTTTATTTGTTACAATTTGTTTGAACTTCAGCGGTGGATGACTTTGAAACTCATAATTCTCATCAAACTGTTTCTGAGACATGGAAGAAAGATGGTTATGTTGAACCAAAGTCTCAGACTGTACGAGTAACCTATCACCTTCATATTGTCCTCCTGAAGTAAAAATAGAAAAGGAATTTTTATTTTGCAGCTTTTGTATGGTGTTTAAATGTACAGTCATACAAAATAAAAGAAATCTTTGTGTACATGTTATGATGTATCAAATTAATTTCAAGGACTCTGAAAAAGAAATTGATCAACATGCTTCACCTTTACTGAGAGATTTATAAGTTTAATTGTTTGCTTATTTTGTTTTTTGTCTGTTACAAATGCAACTTTTAAAATAACAAATAAGTGAGTAGTGACAGTGATAAGGAAAAAAACCAACATACCTTGATCATTTGATGCCATTCCTAATGCAAAACTTAAGAAAGCCCCCTATGGAAAAAACCAACTACCTTGATCATTTGATGCCATTCTTAATGTAAAACTTAAGAAAGCCCCCTATGGGAAAAAAACCAACATACCTTGATCATTTGATGCCATTCCTAATGCAAAACTTAAGAAAGCCCCCTATAGTAAATGCTTTCTGTGTATACACTTGGTCTCCACACTTGTTTTTGTCAATATAATCTTCTTATAAATGCAGTGAGCAGATTTCAGTAATTGTCTGGAATTGAAAACAATAAAGAATTAAAGAATTAATTAACAGAATCAATAAAACACCTTCAGCAATGAGATGTCAACAGACATTAAAACTTTGAAAATGATCTGTACCAGTATATAATAAGTGACTAGTCCATGCAGCTTGACCATATTGTTATGAAGCAATAATTTCACCCCATGTTTTATATTACATAACATTTATTTCAACTGTGTTTTTGTAATACTGAGATTTCAAACTCTGGAAGTATGCTTTTTTAATAAAGATAATTCCCTCAAATTAACCCTTAAGACATAGATCTATTTTGAAAATAACTGTTTTGATTTGACACCTACTGTCCTAGGATGATAATTTGGTCTTAACGGTACATGGAAAAGTCCAAAAACGGGGTTATCTGGATTATTATCCGATATCGTAAAAGTAAACTTTTACATATACTATATAGCATTATTCTTACAGTATCAATTGTATATTACCTTTATGGCTCTGCCGGTAGATCGAAGTTAGTGTAACTTTTAATATTTTGAACTCATAGGTTCGAACCCAACGTAGTGCCATTTTATAACCACAGTTTTTTCTTCTTGCTCTGTTTTTATCTTTATTATTTATTTATTTTTCGTTTTCCTTTTTGATTTCTTCTTATAATGTATATTTTATAGTATATATTTTTTATTTCTATTATATTTTCTTTTTGTATTTCTTGATCGCAGAGTTATAAAATATTCGATCTCATATTCATGTATCTGTATATTTTTCTTTAACAATTGACTGTTCTGCGGTAAAAAAAATGTGTCATACCATTAGTCGAACTTCTGCCTGTACGGGTAAAACACATTACTGACACGGTTGCTCTACCTACTGCGCTAACAAGACATATGATAACATGTAGTTTAATTTTCATTTTTATAGGTTGTGGCATTGATCTGCCTAACCTATTTTTTGCATTGTTATTGGTCTTTGTTATGTAAACAAAGGCTCAAGTTATCATCCTAGGACAGTAAGCTGACAGTTGTAGGAAAAATATAAATCTGATTTTCCTGTCTTTTGTTGATTTTAATGATAATTTCCTTATCAACCTTAAAGAATAAAAGAGTAATTATAGTCAAAATCACACTATCATTTCCAGCTTATCTTTGCTTAAGTGTTATAATTATTTTATTTCTTTTGTTAGATCTTAGGTGATTAAAATCTCATCCCTTCAGGACCAAATATTGGCAGGACCAACCTGTATATAAGAAAAAAAAAACAAGCTATGCAGTCATTTTTCATAATTTTTTTCTTGGCAGGACCAACCTGTATATAAGGAAAAAAAACAAGCTATGCAGTCATTTTTCATAATGGAAGTGGCTAGCCGTACGGGCCTGTACGGCTAGCCAAAAGTTCTAGCCGTACGTGAGTCACGTACGACTAGCCAGGACTCACTGTATTGTCTAGCCGTACGGCACTTTTCAAAATTATATGGAAGTCGAACATGCATATGTTATTTTATGCCTTATGATTATGGTTTGTTGTTTTATTTGTATGAAAGGTGAACTTTTGTTAATCAAGCACAATCATGGATCGAATAAATAATGATCGGAGTGGATAAAAAGAACATTGAAAAAAAACAACAAAAAATAAAACACGGTGAATTGCAAAATAGATTCTAATTGTATAATTTTCAAATAAAGTAGATAAATATCGAACATAAAAGCACAATCAATTAATTAGCCTTAATTAAAGCCTACCCAGGGACTGACAATAGAATTTTAAAATGCGTTTCACGAAACATGCAAACTTTCCTTATGTTAACAAACTTCTATACCGTCCGTTGACGCAATTTCAGAGCCCAACAACAATAATTTTCGGGTTTTTTTGTTTCATTTTAAAGGTGTCGAAAATTAAACTTGATGAAACAAAAAAGGATTATCAAAATTTGTAAACTATTTCAATTGATGTTATTTAACTGCGACCAAATGCGTATTTTTCTCAACGTCTTTCAAGAGATGACAAAGATCGATGTTCGTTCTTTTTTTTACTGTAGCAAACCAGGCGATTAATCTCTACAAAGTAAACATACGAAGACAATTGCTGTTTCTTGGTTAAAATCCTCGCTTAAAGTCATAAAATAACATATGCATTTTCGACTTCCATATAATTTTGAAAAGTGCCGTACAGCTAGCCAATATAGTGTGTCCTGGCTAGTCGTACGTGACTCACGTACGGCTAGAACTTTTGGCTAGCCGTACGGGCCCGTACGGCTAGTCACTTCCTTTCATAATTTTTTTTTATAGCCTATTCATTAAATAAAACAATTATGACTAGTCAATAATTGTTTTATTTTATGAATAGGCTATAAGAATTTAAAAAAATCACAGATATTACAATCTTATACATGTACAATCTTTGGCTTTGCCTGTTTCGTTGAAGCCCGGGAAAAGACGCATGTGTACAGCCTGCAACAAGTACACAAATGTTGCGCATATAAAAGTAGTTCAAGTTTATGCTGACATTATTGCAGTGTACCTTTTAACTATAACAGTTAAGTACAAATGTAATGATATTTACATCAAGAAATATACCATAAAGAACAAAACGCAACGATTATCTGTTTTTGATTAGCACGCGTAATTAACAGTCTCATTGAATACAGTCTCAATCTATTTTTAGACTGGGAAAATCCAAATTTTTATTCAGCCAGTGAATATGATTAAAAAAAACAGTGAATATGATTCTATATGACTACTGTTTGGACCAATGAGATTGCAGCTATATTTAGATCATGTAATAAAACATAATATTGACGAAACCACTTTCACACGTCTAAGTTTGCTGAACCGGTAGTTCTAATTATCGATCAGTTGGACACTCACGGTTGGACTAGCAAACACATAATTTGGATTAGAATAAGTGATTTATCGATAAATACATTCATTTCAATAAGATTTTTAAGCAAAATTTACACAATATGTATTAGTTATAGCTGAATTTGTCAAAAGCAATATTCAAATAAGTAAAATAATTAGAAATCATGGCAAATTACAATACCATTCCATGTCCAGTGGCCGTCGTACTAATAGTGTTACATAAAAAAGGGGAGGTAACTCTTAGAGTGTAAAGAAGTATCAGTGTTAGTTTTAAATGAGTAATCACGTCACTTATCTTGAATGAAAAATTGAATTAATTTATCAGTATGAACAGGTAATATAAACTGACCAAGAAAGAAAATATTATGAAATTGCACGAAATCAATTACAATATTGTACTGTATATCACGGATTTATAATACATAAATCCAGAGACATAGATAACATCTATGTCTCTGATAAATCCGTGTGTGTGTATATAGTTAGTAAATGGGTGTTTCATTTTGATGATTAACGAAAGTTTATTTTATGATGTTTTTTTTTTTTGCCATTATTATATGACAAATGTGCCGAAAGAAAAATATCTATACTGTATATTTTTCTTTAGAGCAAATGGCGAAGACTTAGCCTATGTACGTATGTGATGAAATCATTGCTAAAGTGCTTAGAATAGCCACGAACTTTAATTCGTACTTTTTTTGAGTTCCGTAGAATAGCATGCTATAGGGAACGTAGGGAAAATAGCCGAGGCATTTGTAAGTAGGCATACGGTCATCATTATTTCTTGAAAATGTGTTCGTTTAGACTGCCCATAGATTCACGGATTTATATTGTAATATAAATCCGTGATATATTATAAAAGAAATATTCTAATGGTAGCTGTGATCCCTTCGTGAAATAAGCAAAACCCTAATTTGCACGCCAAATTATCAATACCCTTTCCCACCCAAACTAGAAAAATACTATTACAATGTATTTCGGATCAATATTAACTCTGTACATGCATTAAACAAAAAAAAAGTTTTACTTTTTTATCAAACATTTATAAGAACACTACGGGAGCGGCCTGGTGAAAGCTACTACTTTACTTTACTATAAGCAAACTACACGTACGTAATACCTAATCAGGATATACAAGTAACTCCTGATTATGAGCTATGAAACTCTAATTGGGATAAGATAATCCTAATAAATTGCTTAAAATTGCTTAAACTTAGGAGTTGCGGCGAGAGTTGTTTAAGAAGATTTTAAAGCTTTCTGTCAATCCATACGTGTAAAATTAATTCATATGTTATTTAATATGTAAATAAAGAAAAAAAATGAAATATTGTTTAAACTACTAAGTAGTTGCTATCTTATTGTAATACTACAATCTTATTGGACAAAAAATTTTCAAACACTAATTACTAATCAGCATTTTCTTACTCCTTATTTTAGACGAACAATAACTTGATATTTGGCCCCGGAACGCTTCCATAGTACTAATACGGATAAACTCAATTGTCTTATAAATAGCCGATTTTTTTTGTAAACTCGTATATACATTTCATTTAAATATCGGGGAATCTGTTGTTGACCTAGTTACACATTTAATCTTAAAAGTTAAAAGGAAAAAGAACTGTAATACGTGATAACTTCCTGATAGGCAATCTGGCAAGGTCATGTATGAATAATATGGGTCAAATTAGTTCATTGTTGCAAAGTCATCAGAATGCAAATATATACTTTTACAGTGGAACTTGTTCAATAAGCCCACTTTTGCATAAATACTACATAACCTCAGGCTAAAATTTTAGGTCCCCTTTTACATGAACCGACTGAGGCTGTGGGAACACCTCGGCGATTAATCATGACGGAAGAGCCGCCATTAAAGTTAGATAGGACCGAGAAGATAATTAAAATCAGAAGATGTTAATTGTATATATTTGAGATCCTATTTGAGATCCAATTGTATATATTTGAGATCCAATTGTATATATTTTGAGATCCAATATATTTGAGATCCAATGGTATATATTTGAGATCCAATTTTATATATTTTTGATCCTATTTGAGATCCAATTGTATATATTTGAGATCCAATTGTATATATTTGAGATCCTATTTGAGATCCAATTGTATATATTTGATATCCAATTGTATATATTTTGAGATC